TTGTTATTGTTGGTTTTGAAGACAGGGTCTTACTGTGTAGCTCAGGTTGGCCTCAGACTCGAAGTGATCTTCCTGTCTCAGCCTCCCAAATGCTAGGATTACAGAGGTGTGACACCATGTCCAGCTAGGCTATTTTTTCTAAACTAAAACCTAAGTATTCAGGTTTAATTGCAATGTTGGCATTTCATGATAAGTAGGTTTTGGTTTCAGTTTGGCCGCTCTAAAAGGTCTTTTTTTTTTTTTTTTTTTTTTTCCGGTACGGGGAATCAAACTCAGGACCTCGTGCTTGCCAGGCAAGTGCTGTGCCACTGAGTTAAATCCCCAGTCCCTTCTAAAAGGTCTCTAAAAGGTTCACCATCACTGCCTTAAGATATGTTCCCAGAACACCCAAAAGGGTAGCATCAGGCAGAGTGAGCTTATGCCCTTTGGTTTTTAGAGAGAGGAGAAAGATCAAAAGAGCAGTTTAGAGAAAACCCCTCAAACTAGAGTATGTTTAGGTCTCCACAGATGTATATGCTTTTGGACATTGTTTCCTCCAGTAAGATCTGAAAGTCATTTCTCTCTGCTGTGCCTCAGGATTGAGTCTCCCATGCTGGTTCCTGAGAAACTTTGCTTAAAACACTGGATGAGGAGTTTATCCTTATTTTGTATTTCTTTGGATAAGCAAGATTTTTTAGGGTCTCATCTAACCCAGGGGTGGGTTGTGGTGCTAACCTAAAGGAATACCTAGTGAGGCTGCTACATGTCTTAGAGTGTTCCTCCTGACGCATTTCTGCATTTCTAGTCAGACGGAGCAAGTGCCTCTTGTCTTCAGTGCTTTTACATACAAGTACTCATTTTCTGTGAGTTAGGAGTCTCTTACCTGCTGGAAAAGAAATAAAAAGACCCTATTATACAGCTGAGTGGGACAAAAGTACTCCAGGTTCTTGTGTATGATGAGGAAAATATTGGCAAGCATAAACCTCTTAGTATGTAGTGGCAGCTATGATTATTAAAGGTCATGCAAGGTAACAGCAGGAAGAAACAGAAAGGCAAAGGAAAAAAGTGAAGGAGTGGAGAAGAAGGGACTCGATAACTCAGGTTTCCAGTGTTTAAAGGGTCAGACACCTCTAATCATAGGTATCTCCCACTGTCTCTCTCACTGATATTAGTAATCTACTGCCTTGGGGATTGTTACCTCCTAAACTTAACCTTGGATAATCATTACTGTGGTTTTGTGTTATGGTTGAATGAAAAGAAAGGAGTGACTCACACAAGTTCCCTGTTTCTAACTGTGCTATTCCCCATGAGAGCCTTGGTCACCAAAAATCTTTGAGAAGAGTTGAAAGAGGAAGTTCCATCTCCTATAGCTAGCTCAGGCTAAATAGCAGTGTTGGCCCTACCTGTGTGGAGACCAAGGAACTCTGGCCCTGACTGATCTAGGAGTTCAAGGGAGCTGAGTCATCCTTTGAAGATTTCTTGATGAACCTTGGGCATGGAAGCAGGGTCTGATCTCGAATTACGGTTACCAGCAGTAGTTTGATGGTATTTTAGACCTATTGACAAAAGAAGTAAATTCTTCTTTTAGGGACAAACGGCTCTTTTGCTTCAGCTGTTAAGGAGATTTAGTCCCCTCTGATATTGTGTGGCCACTGATGCTAGTGAGTCTATCTTGTCTTGAAGGAGGGTAATACTCTGCGCAAGTTCATCTAGGCCATCTGTCAAGTTCTTAGGTAGCTCTTGATAGGAAAAGGATGAAATTAGCTTGAAGGTATCATGAGGTGGTCACTAATATTATCTTTATTAGAGGCAGCTTTTGAATAATTCAGGGTGATCCCAAAGGAAAGAGAAAAGACCTAAAATATATCAGATTATAATTTGGAATAGGAACCTTGTCTGGCACCTTTACCGTGGATTGCATCTGTATGACCACTTAGGCTATGGTAGTCTCTAGGTAAGAATAAACAAACTTTACCAAGAGATTAAGGCACATGTGACCAAAGCATGAACACTAGAACGGAAAAGTAGACTGGGGAAGGAGCCATGTCAGGTGCTGTTCTTTTTTTTTTTTTTCTTTTGTACTGGGAATCAAACTCAGGACCTTGTACTCCCCAGGCAAGCACAGTGCTGCTAAGTTATATCCCCAGTCTGTCAGATGCTGTTCTTAAGGGATTGATATAGCACTTATGAGCAGGGTCCCAGACCAGTCTACAGGTGTAGCTAGAAACTGTCAGCAGGGGGCAGTGATGGGAGCCCCTTTTTATATTTAGCCTGTATTGCTATCATTGTTAAGCAATGTTTATTGGGGTCTTTCTCCCATAAAGGATATGGAAATTTTTGGGGGTCCCATTAGTGAATAAAGACTGGAATAAATGTTTGCAGGCAGGTGCTCCTTTACTCACCAAGGGGAGTCTTGTTTAGTAGTGGATGGAAGGATGTCCTTAACTTTAATAACACAGATTCAAGGCAATTTAAGTTGTAGATATAAGTATTTTAACTTATATAAACTGTTTTCCATGGAAATTCCAAAAAAGTCAAAAAGAAATTGTTGCACTTAAACAAAGCAGATGTAGGTATTGCAACTGGTTTTTAGCACAAACTGGACAGAGAGGTGGGCAAGCACACATAAGACAATTGTTAGGGCCTCTGGTGCATGGGGAGCCACAGGCAGGGAGCGCCAGTCTTCCGGCTGGCTTGCTTCCTGCCTCGTAGGCCCCCGGAGGGGGGGCCTCCAGCACACAGGGAGCCACGGGCGGGGAGTGCCGGTCTTCTGACTGGCTCGCTTCCTGCCTCGTAGGCTCCCCCGGAAGGAGGGCCCCCAGCGCAGGGGAAGCCACGTGGAGGCGAGGACTGTTGCGCACTGGCCCTCAGGCTGGCTGCCACCGCTTAATTGAGAACTACCACGACACAGAGAAACAATGACACAACTGGCCCACCCTGCACCAGCTGCAGACGCCCACCCACAGACGTGTGTGAACCATTCAAACATGGAGCAACTCCCAGGAATACATGCCATACAACGGGCCACTCTTGCTCCTGCCATTGAGAACCAGAAAAGTCCAGAGTCAGGGGAGGAGCAGCTGCTGAACAAGGACTCGGAGAACATGAGAATGCAGACTAAGCCGAGGAGTCAGAGGTCTTGTGGACTGGGGTCATGAGAGCCGCTCAGAAGCTGTAAACCAGGAGGACCTTGCACAATACATGCAGAGACTCCCTGGAAGCCATTCCTCCCCTGACAGTACAGGCTATGGTGGATCCCAGAAGTCTGCAGCAGGATTCCTGCTGCCTTTGCTGACAGTTGGGGAGAGGACACTAACTGGTTGTGTCCCAGTGTGATGGGAGGCTGGAGAGAAAACACTGCAAAAATGACTTTCGCCCCAAACGGCTCACTTGATTTTTGACAACCCTTAGGCTGTAACTACTTGTTAGATCCTTCTTGTGTATCTCTGTCTTCCTGAGAAACCACTTCAAAGATACCACCATGTATTACAGCAGCCATTGATATTTTCCTACTAATCTATCCATAACTCTGCAATGTTTGTATTGTTCCTATCCTATTTAATAAATGGATGCATGTCTATCATTATGTATTCCCTACAACAACCATTGAGAAAAGTAAATGATTATTCAATAGGTCACTCATGTATAGCTCTATTTATTTTCTTTAGAAGCCACTTTGAAGATACCAAGGTATAGTACAACAACTATTGATAATCTCCTACCTCTTTTGTCTGTAACTCACTATTATTTGTCTATTTGTTTTCCTGAGAAACTATCTTGTAGATAACAATATGTGAAACAATAACCATTGATAATTTCCTACCACTTTGTCTGTAATTTGGTAAGCTCCCCCTATTATGTTATCCTTCTTTTACTCTTTAAAATAAAAAAAAAGACAATTGTTTATGAAGCAGAGTGCACTCAGATGTATTTGGCCATGGTTTTTATGAATCACGCACAACTATCATTTTAGTAAATGTAGTAAACAAGACAGTAGTGAGGGGCCAGTGATACAGCTCAGCAGCATAAGCACTTACATGGCAACTGCAAGGTTTTGAGTTCTATTCTGGTACCAAAAAAAAAAAAAAAAAAAAGACAGTAGTGAGACTGTTCACACAATCTACTTAGGAGAGGGCAAAACTGTTGTATCCATCTGGTTCACCAGAATAGTTGTTTTCTTTACTGAAAAAAAAAAAAGAAAAACACTTCAGGTTGTCTATTGGTTCAAAGATGTATGAAGTTTGTGGTCCTTCTTTGTCTTCTGATGTCTCAGGTGGTTTGAATTTTACCCTGGATCGATGAATCTCTTCATCTGTATCTTAATTATAAAAGAAATGGTTAAAAAAAAGAAATGAAATGGTTAATAGGGTTGTGAGATCTTGTATTAGGTAATATTTTATTTTACTTTATTTATTTATTTATTTATTTATTTATTTATTTATTGGTGCCAGGAATTGAATTTAGGACCTTGTGCTTGCTAGGCAGGCTCTACTTTATCATAGTTATTGAACACTGAACAAGCTTCATCAACCAATTGGCTTATTTTGGTTTGTGGGCCCAGTTAGAGTTTTTGGAGCCTTTTCCTAATATCTGGAGCTGACTGATCTGTGAGTACTGAAGAAGTACTGCCTTAGGTAATCTGGTTTTTTTTTTTTTTTTTTTAGCTTTTTGAGACAGTGTCTTGCTGTGCAGTTCATGCTAGTTGCTGAGCTCACCTTGTAGCCTAGGCTGGTCTTGAACTCACAACGATCCTCCTGCCTCAGCCTCCCGAGTGATGGGATTACAGGCGTGCACCACCACGCCCAGCCGCTTTAGGTAATCTGACCTCCTCTAGACTCAGAGTCTAAATTAGTGTATTTACGGAGGGCTTCTTCAAGCTGCAGCTGAAACTAACTGGGCTCTCACTGGGGAACTGACTAATAGACCTGAGTTTATCATAGTTCATAAGATTGGTTATCCCCTGTTACATACCAGCAAAAATGGCCCTGATGTGTAACTTTTGTTTGGCTTCTCTTCCTCCAGTATTATAATTTCATTTAAGGAGGCGCCTGGGACCACCGGCTAGTGTTGCTACGTGTTCCGAGCGGCCCGCGGCTCTGTGGAGATGGCCTGCGCCGCTGCGCGGACCCCGGCCGACCAAGACAGGTTTATTTGTATCTACCCCGCTTATTTGAATAATAAGAAAACCATCGCGGGAGGGGAGGCGGATCCCGATAAGTAAGGCTGTTGAAAATCCTACAGCTACAGAAATTCAAGACGTATGCACAGCAGTCGGACTTAATGCATTTATTGAGAAAAATAAAATGTACTCTAGAGAATGGAATCGTGATGTTCAATACAGAGGCAGGGTCCGAGTCCAGCTCAAGCAGGAGGATGGCAGCCTCTGCCTGGGACAGTTCCCTTCACGTAAGTCGGTAATGTTGTATGCAGCAGAAATGATACCTAAGCTAAAAACAAGGACACAGAAAACCGGAGGTGGTGACCCAAATCTTCAGCAAGGAGAGGGAAGTAAGAAAGGAAAAGGGAAGAAGAAGAAATGATCCACGGTGCGCATCAAGGATGCAACCCCTCTGCAGGACGCAGTGGAGGCGTTTTTGTCGCTGAGGGCAAAGCTTGTCATTTGCATCAATCACCTAACTACAGACTTCTGTGCCTGCCGTGTTCATCATCGGAGCTGACTATGACATGAGTCCATCACAGTACAACACAGTGGAATTACATCTAGCTTTTATGCAGTATAAAAGAAAAAAATTGCTTTCAATGAAGTGTTTGTGGAAAAAATATTTTGAAATGGATAGTGGGCTATGCCAGAAGTTAATGGATATCTGTATCTGTCCTCTGTGTAAGCATGTATTTCAGATAAATAAGTTTAGTAAGATTTGAAATACACATTTTGTTCGCCTTTTAAGTTAATTAAATTTTTTAAACTGCAAAAAAAAAAAAAATTTCATTTAAGCCCTTCTTAAGACCCCCCAAATGCCACAGTTGACTGATTATTAGAGGGTGAAGCTGCAAAGGCTTCATCATTGGCCTTTTTTGCAGCCTTTGTAATCCTTTTCCTTTCTACTGCTATGCAATAAGAAATGAGGATGAATTGGACATCTTGCCAGGTCAGATCAAAAGTCATGGTTAGGGTTTGGAAACCATCAGCAAACTTTACAGGATCTTCAGATAATCTACCCAGTTGTTCTTTGCACTGCTGAATATCCATAACTGAAGAGGGAACTACCACACAGACTGTACCATCACTGCCTGTCACTTCTTGAAGAGGAAGAGCAGTGATGGATTTAGATGTTGAATTTCCTGAGTCTAAGGCTAATGACAAGTAAACCCAGACCTAGTATGGGGTGGTCTGAGGAAAAGGACTTTATCTTCTGAGAGTACTGACTGAGCAGGTAGCCAAGGAGGTAGTCTATGGGAAGGGGGAGCTGACAGGAGGAAGTCTTCTAGAGCATCAGCTCTTGAGAGATTATGATTTCTAGGGTATAGGTCAGGGCTCTGGTAGAAAGCCATAAAAGCCTGAATATAAGGCACTTCTGATTTGTTTCTTACAATAAAGATATAATTGAAATATGGCATATTTTAGGCTGCCAAGGGGTAGCCATGTCTGATTTTCCCCAAGTGGATATATAGGTCATTTGTCATTACACAGGGATATAAGATGATCTTTTGAAGGATCTTAGAACTCATCCTAATAGTTAAGAGGACATACAGGTGGGAACTCAGAAAGAATAGAAGTGGTTGTTCCTATCTATAGATAGAAGGATTAAAAAGTGGGATCTAGGATTTTAGCCGGGATACTAAGCTTTTTTAGCCTAGGAGTTTAATCTGGCTAGGTTGAATTCCTTTGGGTCTGGCTGTCTCCAGCCTTAAGTGAGCACCAGCTCTACTTTCTTGGACCCACTGGATTTCCCCTATAAACATAACTCATCTTCTGGTTCAACAGTCCCTTAGTGGGGTGCCTTACTAGTTAGATGTCCTTTCTTTCTTTTTTTTTTTTTTTTTTTCATTTTTTTTCTGATACCAGGAATCGAACTCACAACCTCACACTTGTGCTGTGCCGCTGAGCTAAATCCCCAGCCCCTTGCATTGATTTTCTTTTTTTTCTGGTTAGATGTCCTTTAGCTAATAAAAAAGGGAATGAGACCCATTACTAGAGAAAAATTCTACTCACTAAATTAAGCCGTAAAACATATGCATCTAATGACAGAACCTCAAAATGAAAATCAGGCACTAGTTAAATTCAGTCAGGGCTGGGGATGTAGCTCAGCGGCATAAGCACCTGCCTGGCAAGTGCAGGGTCCTGAGTTCGACTCCTGGTACCAAAAATAAATAAATAAATAAATAAAAATAAATTCAGTCAGCGAAATACAGGTTACATTGTGGAAATGTAAAAATAAGGCTTCTTGTGACTCATAGATAAGCAGTTTCAACAGGTTTGAGATTGCCCGGAAAGGAGGGAGCGCCAGAAGGGCCAGAGCATTATCTTCTGTCCTTGGAAGAAAACACATCTGGTGTTGACACAGATATCTCCCCCTCCCCTTGCCCATAAGCAGAAAAACTCTGCATTCCTGCACACTATACATCATAGAGGCCCAATAAATATAAAAAACTATGTGTATTAACCAATGCCATCTGCTTCTGTAATGACGCTTGCAAGCCCCCTCCTTTGTGGTTTTTCGGGTTAAAGAGCCAGAACTGACCTGGCTCGGGGCTCTCTGTTCCTGCGAGCTCAGTGAGCCCCATGCATGCTTGGTGAATAAAATCCCCTTGCTTTTTGCATGAGAGAACGTCTCTTGGAGTCTTCCTTCACGCGGCGAGTGTCTCGACCCTAACAACATATCCTTTCAGATAGGGATATACCACAGGAAGCAACAGCTCTGGGTAGGGTTTTAGGACCCAGAGAAGAAGATTCAGCTAGAGTTGGATCCCCTGCTTGCTGGTTCACACAGATAGAAGCAGTTCCAGGAAGTTTACACGGACCAATTTTTCTCTTCTGGTGAAGGAAGATATTGTACCTCTTAACCTTGTTTTGTTTTGTTTTGTTTTTCTTTCATTGTTGTTGTTTTTTAAAGACAGAGAAAAAACCATAAAATAATAACAGTGAAGACAAAAACAAAACAACACGAAAAAAATAAAAATGATTGAAACAGGTTCTTGCTATGTATTTCAAGATGATCTTGAACTCACTATGTAGCCCTGGCTGGCCTCAGACCCATGGCAATCCTCCTGCCCCAGTCTCCTGAGAGCTGGTAGTAGAGGTATGCACCACAATGCTTGGCTTTATTCATGGTTTTTTTTTTGGTACTGGGAATTGAACTCAAGACCTTGTATTTGCCAGGTAGGTGCTTTTGCCGCTGAGCTATATCCCAAGCCCCAGTGCTTTGCTTTAAATGGATTGTTTTGAGTTATCCAAAACCAACAATTAACAAGTGGAACATTCTGATACCTGAAAGACTAGGGGAGAGTGGGTCAGAAAAGGAGAAGGAAAATTACTAAAAGCTATGAAAAGGAAACACTCCATGTGAGTCCATGATCCATGGGGAAGAACAGACATCCTTACCCCTAAACAAGTTCAGACCAAGTTACCAAGAGCTCCATAGAGAAAGGCAATAGACCAGATTCATATTCCTGGTCCCCTACTGTGGGTGGCTATGCCAAAGTATTCATCTATCAGTGGCTTTCTCCGCTGCTCCTCTTGGCTTACACATCCCTCCAATAAGGCATGTGCCACCACCTTCAAGATAGACTTTCCACACTGTGTCAATCAACAAAAGAACATAACCTCAACTGATGAGCAGGGCCCTGCCAGTCTTTGAATTCACTATGTAGCCCAGGCTGGCCTCAAACTCATTGTGATCTTCCTGCCTCAACCTCACAAATGCTGGGATTATAAATATGTATCACCCCGCCTGGCCTCAACCAAATTTTCATGTTCCCAAAAGCAAACTATCCCAAATAATTAGGATATCCATAAGTGAATTTACTTGGAAGGCCATAAAAGGAACTTATATGCAAGAAGCCCACCATCCAGACCCCAGAAGTGTGAACTCTGAGACAAAAGGTACAATGGAAGTGAAGCTTTAATAACACTTCTGCAGAAACAGACATGTGCAATGTCTGTTCTAAAGAAAGACATGTGCAATTCAAATGAGCAGTGACCTTTATAACCCCTATCCTGTAAAGTCCCTTCCCTGTCACTCATTGGCTGAGGTTGCAAGAGTACAATCTCTCATGATTACCACGTAGTTTCTCCCAGTGTCTTGCAAAGCTCCTACCTTACTTTCCCCTCCTTTGTGTATTATTTTTGATCATAAAACTTTGCTTGTTTAGCCACTATCTGATCTGGATACCTCATTCTGGGACTTTGTGGTTGGAACTTATTCTTTGTGGTTAAACTTGACATAACTGCTTTAATCAGTTACTAATTTTCCATCCAAAGCTACATAAAAATGGACCATTTATGCTTCTATTTCTTACAACCCCCCCCTTTCTATTTGAGTCTTATTGGTGTCATCTTAAAGTTTTTGTAGAGCTGAATTACTTTTTTAAAAAAATTATTTATTTATTTATTTATTTTTTCTGGTACCAGGAATTGAACTCACGACCTTGCACTTGCCAGGCAGGCGCTGTGCTGCTGAGCTAAATCCCTGGCCCTGAGCTGAATTACTCTTGATCATATGATAATAGATTCATTTTTCTTAACAAGAGGTTATTTTGTTTTCAGCAAAGTGGTGCTAGTTGTTTGAGTTGCCCCCTTTTTATATTCAGCTGAGCTTTTAATTTAATTATATATAATTTATATATTATATAAAAATTATATATAATTATATATATAAACTTTTAATACATTGTAAATATATATTAAATATATAAAAATTTTGGTTATACTTTTTCCTCGGTGTTTAAAATCAAGTTAAAGTGAGACCTGTTAAGAATACTATCTATCTATCTAGATATCTATGTTAGTTCAGCCTCCTCAATCATTACTTTTACAATTTATTTTTTGAGACAGAGTCCCACTATGTAGTTCAGGCTGGCCTTCAACTGACTATGTAGTCCAGGTTGGCCTCGAACTCACAGTGTTCCTTCTGCCTCAGCTTTCTGAGTGTTGAGATTATAGGCATGTGTCACCACACCTGGCTCCTCAGGCATTACTTTTTTTTTTTTTTTTTTT